GAATACAAGAAGCAGCCATCATGCTCTGTGTTTTGTTTTTCTCATACAGGCATCTCTTATCATTTGGCTATACACAACATTGTGATTAGTAAATTCATGACATAATGGCCTTTGTACCATACAGGGGGAGAAAATAGCAAAAGTGGAGGGAAGATGTGGAAGAATTTTAAAAATCTTTGAAGAAAATAGTTAAAAATAAACTTTACTGCCAAAAATGAGGGCAAAGTCTAATAAAACTCTAAAATCTTTGGAATTAATTTCCTTGTTTTCACATGTCTGCTGACCATTGCTGGGTCAGTGTCCTGCAGGTCAGGGTAGCAATATCCATTAAAGTTATTGGCTGTGCCCGGCTCTTATTTGCATCTCTGTTGAATAAAAACCCCAAATTGACCTCTGCCCCTAGAAATGAACATGAAACATAATAGGTGGAAATTTCTGTGCTTGATCAATCTATGATACCATCACACATAAGGGCCGTCAGTACAATTGACGGCACTAAGAAAAATGTTTACATTTAAATTATCAGATGCTGTTTATGGTTAAAATGCTTCCAAATTCTAGGAACATTAAAAAAATCTGTAATTTTTACACTTCATAAAAGATAGATGTTAGGAATTGAACCCTGGTCCTTTGGAAGAGCAGCCAGTACTCGCAACCACTGAGCCATCTCTCCAGGCACCATATGGCAGCTCATAACTGCCTGAAACTCTGATTTCAGGGGATCTGACACCTTTACACAGACATACATACAGGCAAAACCCCAATGTACACTAAATAAATAAATTTTTTTTTTAAAAAAAAAAAGATAGATGTTAGAATTCTGAGATGATAGAAAAATGCAGAAGTAAACAGGATGGGAAGCTTTGGCAATGGAGTCCTCAAAGGGGAAAGGCTGTGATATTAGCATAGGTCAAGGTGCACTCCACTGTTGCTGGAGGGCTTCTCTCCAGGTTCCACCAAGCCCCGCAGTCCCACAATCCACGTATAAAATAATCACTCAGATGCTTATATTACTTATAAACTGTATGGCCGTGGTAGACTTCTTGCTAACTGTTCATATATCTTAAATTAACCCATTTCTATAAACCTATACTTTGCCACATGGTTCGTGGCTTACCGGCGTCTTTACATGTTGCTTGTCCTGGCGGTGGCTGCAATGTCTCCCCCTCCTTCTTCCTGTTTCCCCAATTCTCCTCTCTCCTTGTCCTGCCTATACTTCCTGTCTGGTCACTGGCCATCAGTGTTTTATTTATATAGAGCGATATCCACAGCACTCCACTAAGTAGAGTAATTTGAACAGAGATGCAGTAGGAGGACATGGGAGAATTGGTTACGTGAATATCAAAGGTTGGGGGGATAACCGACTGATGAAAGAGCCAGAACAAAAGTCCTAAGGCAAATAAATGTCCATCTGAGTTGGAAGGATATCAAGAAAGCTAGTGTGAGTAGACAGGTTGAGTGAGTTGAAAGGCTAAAAGGAGATGAAGTCAAGAGGGAAATGCCAGATCACACACATGCTGTTACTCTTGAAGGCCAGAAGAGGACATCAGATCCTCTGGGACTGGAGTTACAGGTGAGCTACCTGATAATAGATGCTGAGGAATGAACCTAAATACTGTGTAAAATCCACAAGTGCTCTTAACCACTAAGCCATGTCTCCAGCTTCATAGGCCCCAGATTTTGCATATTTAACATGCTTCCAGATAAAGCACTAACCATCCATAAGGAACAAATCTAAATCAGCATATGAAATACTCTCCTCAAAGGAGATTAGTCAACTCAACACAGCTATTATTTCCCCCAATTTGTCTCTTTACTGGAACAAGAGTCTGAAATAATTTGTGTGGAAGCTAAGAAGCATTTCACACTTGAGGGGTTGGCATCGGAAAGATTTCAATTAGAAATTTATACTTCAGAGATGAGATATATGAAAAAAAATGCCCTTCTCATACCTAAGGCAGATTAATTAGACTTGTAAGAATGTTAAAAAGTTGCCGGGCGGTGGTGGCGCACGCCTTTAATCCCAGCACTCGGGAGGCAGAGGGAGTGAGTTCCAGGAAAGATGCCATCCACAACTGGACTTGAATTAATGATCAAAGA